AATTTGGGCGAATATCTCGCTCTCAGTGGTGCTTCCCATCGACTCTCGAGTGGTAATCACTTCCACGTCCTGATCGTCCCGTTCCTCTTCGTACTTGATTTGCCGATCTCTGAGCTCCTGGAGCTCATGTTTCATCATCTGATTCTCGCTGTCCTTCAGCTGATTCAGTGCCCGACTCTCTTCCAACTGCTTCTTAAGCAACAAAAACTTGCCTCTATTTGCGGAATCACTGGTCGATGCGGTCATCGATGTGGTCATCCCAGTGGTCAGAGGACTGGGAGTCGTCGTATCGGACGGCGCCCTATCATCGCTGGATTGCGGACTACTCGTGGCAGTGGTGGGCGTCAACTCAGAGCTGATGGTCATCGGCGGTGTGGACGTCACCGATGTCTTTGATTTATGGATAAACTTTAATTTATTAAACTTTTGCTGCAATTCCGTGAACTCGGACTCCCGGCCCTTCAGGAGCGACTCGTTTTGCTTGAGTCGATCCCGCAATTGATTCACTAATAGCTGCTGTGATGACAGATCCGACGATATGTCCGATGAGTCCATCGCTGCTTCACTCCGGCCGTCGGTTCCGCTCTATTGGTTGACCACAAAAAGCAATTAACTAATCGTTTATCAAACATAGCTATCCTTACCTCGAGTTTTATGTATAAAAATCTATTTATTTACTAAACTTCCCGTTCATATAGTGTTCATAACATTTAATTTAGGCATTCATTGCATTTAATAGTCATTTAATTGACATTTCATTTCACTTTTCAAATCGCAATCAATTGGTAAACACGTGGCATATGTTGTAATCCAATGTCAATACACATGTAATGCTTGTGTTTACTATGCGCTCACCGTTTGCACAATCCATACATTACTACCAATTAATTGGCATTTAGTTTATAAATTTAGTTATCAATCAAATCTACAGTTTATTACAAATCTAGTTACTTTCAATGCCTAAGGGGTGCACTAACCCGGGGGCTAAAAACGGGCACTTTTGGCCACAATCAATGCAAACATGTTTTTAATACACATTTAATTAGCGTTTTATACACGGCTTATGACTAATGAGTGAATGCCATAGTGTTTGCAATACCATAAACTCAATGACAACTGCAACACGTGTTTGTAATGGCAATCAAAACCGGCTATTGATTGCAAATAAATAGCAAAATGTTTTTGTCCGCAAAAATCTCTACATTTTTCGCCAAAATTAAAAACTTGACACAAATTGCTTACAAAACGTACATAACTTACGATAAAAACACATACAAACCACCAAACGGGGGCCAAAACTTTATGTAACTTTTCTCTACGTGTTGGCCCTCCCAAGTGGGGGCTGAGGGGGGCTGTAGGTGTGGTACATAATTGGTGAACAGCCCGATAGGCCGTTCATAAGGTTCGGTGCATACAAACAGCTGTTAGTCTACGGTATAACTCGCTGTGAGAAACACAATACGAAAACCCAATGACTGACTGAATATCAGTGAGAAATGTGGCGATCAATGAGTGCTATGCTATTCATAGGCCTCACGACTGCAGTGCACAACACATTCACTGCTATTCACTAACATTACGCCAATTGATACCTAAATTACAAATTCACTGTANCAACCGACGAGAGGAAGAGGTAAGAGATCCCAAGATTTTGTTGAGTCAATAGATCTTAAGCGCAAACTATTGGCTCCGAGTGAGAGAGAAATGCAGTTTTGTTTTTATTGTCTGTTTCTATGGTCTTATATTTGGTGCCAAAGATTTGGTGACTTTTTTGATGGTTTTTGGTGTCGACTCTTGCCATTGATATATGCATTCATGCGATGAGTATGTAATGAGTTATTTAAATATAGTTTGCGTTTCACTTGTTTTTTGGTCATCACTTACATTCATAGTATGAATTTCATACAGTATTTGAAACGAAAACTTGTTTTTTCAATAATGTTTCTTAGGTTTTGTTTTTTAATGCCTTATATTGTGTTAGTTATTGAATTATCATTGAATTCTACTTACTGTATGTGTTTGTAGTTATCGGGATAATTGTTTTTATCGACTTTTGATAGCGTTTTTAACGAATTTAATTGTTATGGAAAGCGATTTTTGGACTAAAAATACCCCCGAATAGTGTAAATCATGTGATTTTTCTGGTCTATAATATATCTAATCTGAATAACATTTAACTAATGATATAATTGTTTAAATGGTGTATAGTTTGCCCTCTGTTTTATTTTATACAATATATTATTTTTTATAAGTTTTTTGCTCTTAATATTCATTAAATTTTCTCATTTATATGCAAATTATTTATAGAAATTATCTTACAATTTGTGATAAATGTGAGGCAAAAATGTGTTTAATTATAATTTTTGTCTTAATGTCTTATAAATATTTATATATAAGTATAATATTTGTCATTAATAATTGAAATTAACTTTTAGTTTTTAAGCTAATAGCTGATTAAGTAGTTTTTAATGAATGTAATTACATTTTTATTGAAATGTAATAAATCATGAAAATATTTCATAGCTATTCAATCACTCGTTTGATACGATCTCCGAGTTTTGCGTTAAAATTGTAATTTTAGACTCAAAAGTTGGTTTTAAACAAGAATTAATTACATGTAAATGTATGGCACACTTGTTGGCACTGATTGTATGTTTGAAAAGAAAATTTTTGTTTCGATAAAAAAGTTATTTTTAAAATTGACATAAATTTTTCACAATCTTTTCATTCATTGCCAGTCATTCTTAAGCAAATTTGTTTATTTTCCGACACATTATATGCTTTAATACCTCACAATTCTGTAGTTAACAACTTTTTGTAAGTTTTGTTTTTAAGTTTAGAAATTAAAGTTATTATTAATAACTTATTAATGGTTTTATAAAAATAATTATCAATTCCTGTACTTTATTCAGACACAAAGAGTTGAATGAATTGCTAGTTTAATATACTATGAGATATTTAAATTGATTTTTTGCGTTAATATTTGATGACATATTTCATTATTTAAGTTACACTTTCTGGTCGTCTAAACAACTGTTAATTATGTTTCAATTGTATTGAATTTATTACTTATTTTTATTGTTTTGTAATTGAAATGTACCATTTTTATTTCTTTATTATTAATACATTTGTAAACTAAAAGCATGTATTTTTAGCTTATCTTAAGTTTAGAGTTTAGTCACAAAGTATTAAAATGTGCAAATTGAAGGTTAATTTAGCAATAATTAAGAGTTTTAGATAAATAAACAGTTATTTCCAAAAATAATTAATCGAGTGAAAGGGTATCAGAAATAGTGATACTATTTGAGTGCTACTGTTTAGTGTAGTGTTTTTATGTAAACTTGTCATTTTGTTAACGTTTGTTTGATTTATACATAGAAATTGTATCGGCTTTTATTTAAATGTATTATTTTGGTAATACAATCTCATGTGTAAATTATATGCCAAATGGGGAGCACTTTGAATATTGAATATATAAATAATTAATTTTTTTAATTAATTATTTTGTTGATTTGTATCGAGCCGTATATCACTATAAAGTTTTATTAATAGTATTTAATTAAGGGATTTAGAAATTTTAAATCACGATTTGTTGCGAAATGCAAACACTATACACAATTGGATGAAGAGATTAGACATAAAATTTATACAACACTTGTCCTCCAATTAAGTGTTTTCAAACAAAAAGACAAACAAAATAAGCGCTAAATTGGGTTTTTATTAATACTTATCGCGCTATTTTTATCGACAAAAAAGTTAATTTGAAGCGCTTTTAACGTTTAATTGTATGAGTGATTACAACCTCGCGTATTGGCCGTAATCACAAGCTTTTGATCAATTTTTTAAGTCTTAACCGCTATATACCGCGAGCACTGGTAGCCGATTGCGATTGTGCAGCACTGGTATGGCTCTCAAAGCTGACTCTCGATCCAT